CAAGTCCGACTCAAATCCAACCCCCTATCTCGTGTATTTATCCAACCTAAATTTGAAACTACCCAATGTTTTAGCTTCGATCACCCTACTAGGCAGACCGTTCCACTCATCAACTACCTCTATTACCATGTATTTATACATTTATTAGTGCCTAGAGTCCTTATGGAGGGGGATTCCCCTTCCAAATAACCTCTCTCCCTCTCTCCTCCTTCCCTGTCTTCCATTCATCAACAACAGCCTTCAATAAAGGTAACTTTCATGTTGATGTTCATCTCTTTGTGCATGTAAATCTATCTTTTAGGTAAAAAAAAAAATTGTTGTTGATACTTCTGGGTGTCTGGAACGAATTAATTGGATTTACATTATTTCTTATGGGGAAAATTGATTCGAAAATCGTCCATTTCGATAATAGTCCCACTTCCAGGACGATTATGGACGATTATTGAGGGCCACTGTATATATATATATATATATATATATATAGATATATATATATATAATATATTATATATATTATATATATATATTATATATAATATACACACACATATATATATATACACATATACACATATATATATACACAATATATATATATACACATATATATATATACACATATATATATATACACATATATATAACTATACACAAATATATATACATATATATATACACATATATAATATAACACAACATATATATATATAACAACATTATATATATACACACACATATAAATCTTTCTTTCAACACACCGGCAGTATCCCACCAAGGCAGGGTGGCCCAAAAAGAAAAACAAAAGTTCTTTTAAATTTAGTAATTTATACAGGAGAAGGGGTTACTAGCCCCTTGTTCCTGGCATTTTAGTTGCCTCTTACAACACGCATGGCTTACGGAGGAAGAATTCTGTTCCACTTCCCCATGGAGATAAGATGAAATAAACAATAGGGTCACCTAATAAACCAATATTTTCAATTTAAGAGAGGAGACAATAAAAAAATAAGTAAAACCAAGAGAAACAATAAAACTGAGAGAGATTAAAAGATTAACCCAAATGGTTTCTTTTAGGTATACAGGAATAAGATTAGGGAAAAATACAGACCCACACAAATGTAACTCAGATCAGCTTACTGTTAATGACAAATGTATACAACTTTTAATATTTATTTCCTCTGTTTTAATATTTATTTCCTCAGTTTTTGCAAGAAAATATACAAACAAAATTCAAGAAATCAATAATTATATACATAAAGCTGAAATAAATAATGCAAGATCAGTCACTGATGACAGTTCTCAGAGAAATTAATAAATTGAAACCAAATAAATTATTAGGAACCAATGAACTGTTTTCAAGTGTTCTGAAGTTATGTTAGGAGAAACAGCAAAGCATTAGCCAACCTCTTCAAAAAATTAATACAGATGGGTATCATACTAGATATTTGGAAAATGGAAAATGGCAAATGTGATACCCATTTAAAAAAAAATAGTAGATATATCTTAAATTAACTTCAGATTATAGCCACTCAGCTTAACCACATTTGTGAGAAAACTAATGGAATCAGCAATGAGAGAAGCAGTTCAAAACTGTCTTGAAAGCCAAGTTGATCAATGACTCAGCATAGTTTTAAAAAGAGGAGTTTCTTGCCTTACAAATCTTCCAGTCTTTTATCACTAAGGTATTTGAAGAAAAAGATCACAATAAATATGAATTTGTGTATATAAACTTCACCAAGGTGTTTGATAGAGTTCCACACAGAAGACTGCTGAAGAGAGTACACACACACACGTTGAAAGAGGAAATTACATCTTGGATCAAGGCGTAATTGACAAATTAGCTACAGTTTGTATAAATGGGGGGGGGGGGGGGGAATAAGAATGGTAACCCGCTATATGTATTGCTCCACAGGTTGGTTTTGGGCCCTTTGTTGTTCACAGAATACACAAACACAAATGTGGAAATAATAAATAAATTTTTATTAGGGCACTAGAGGCCTACAGAATGATCCGGATAAACTGGTGTGGCTGGAGGTTCTAATCATGTGTAAATAACCACAGCATGGTGTAACTTAAATAATACAGACTTCAATCAATTTGTATGTGAAAGAATTAGGAGCCCTAGTCAGTGGTAATCTAATGCCAAGACAGTGCACAGTTTTTTAAATAAAGTAAGTTAATGAAATTCTTCATTTCAAGAAAATAAAATAATAGAAGTCCTCGGGTTATTTTAGTACTCAACTTTATACCAATGGTAAGGTTTCATTGACAGTATGATGGTCAGTTCTGATCTACCTATTTCAGAATGGAAATAAAGGCACTGAAAAATATACAAAAAATGACAAAATTGGGAATATGACTGAAGTAAATAAATGGAAAACCAGAACAAATACAGTGGACCCTCGGTTATCAGCCATTCCAGATATCCGCCAATTCGGGTTTTGCCCGCTTTTTTCGCCGAAATTCTATCCCCATTACCGGCGATACTCGAAGCGTAATAAATCACTCTTGAGCACATTAAATGTCTTGTTTTAGGTTAATATAGACATTTTAATTAATCTATCTATGATATTTTCTTCAAAATTATACAAGAAACACGCTACATAGCATATAGCATATAAGCATGCAATGTTTATATGCTATCGAGTGGAGAGTCGAGTGGAGAGTAAACATTATGTTTTCTCTGATTCAGCATTAGAGAAAACTGTGAATCTGGTGTTTTGCCCAGTAAACGTCCTTCATATGCGTTTGTTTACAATTCTCGGCATGAATTATTCATTACTTCTCCCTTTGTTTATGATGGCATCTAAAGGCAGCTGTTAGAAATGCTTAAACTCAGTGAGCATGGTAATAATGTGGCTGTGTAGTGTAGCCCAGGGAAGCTACACTACACAGAGAGGAGCTCCCTCTCCTCTCCTGCCTTCTTCAATATGCCAACAAGAGTCTTCAATAAAGGTATGTAATGCTCATTTATCATAACCCTTAAACGGTCCAAACGTATACATACATTCTCTCGCGTAGCGCCCCAAATGCATATATACAGTTCATTTGTCATTCATTCAACACTGGCACGATAGCCCTGAGTCGCCTAGACATGAGAGAATGGGTGTGTGCACTCAGTGTGTGCCATATGAAAAAAATTGGGAGTGCCTGGGTGCCACATGCTCTTTTTTCCTATAAAAAAATTCTCAAAATATTTGGGGCGCTGCGCAGTGTGAACGTATATATACGTTTGGACCGTTTAAGGGTTAAAATTTGTGCTTTGTATGTATTTATTTCTCATTTTTTCTGTATGTAAAACTATAGTTAATCTTTAAAAAATGTATTTTTGTTTGTACTTTTGGGTGTCTGAAATGGATTAATTGGATTTACATTAATTCTCATGGGAAATATTTTTTCGGTTTTCAGCCTTTTCGGATTTAGGCCAACCTTCTGGAATGGATTACGGCCGATAACCGAGGGTCCACTGTAAAGGTTATAGGACTCACAGCAATGGACTCCAGATCAACAAATTTAGATTTAACAGTGATACAGACAAAAATTAGTTTGGCAATAGAGTTGTGGATGAGTGGAACAAACTCCCAGGTAGCATCATTGAAACCATAAACTTTAGGTAGCTTTAAAAATAGGTAGGACAGATACATGAGTGGGTGTAAGTCAGACCTTGTCTAGCACAGGCCAACAGACACATGGCATAGCTCCTCCATTCCAATATCTTTATGTTTCAAGAGCTGAGGAGAGGGCTGCTAAGATTAGTAAATATGGGGTTGAAGGAAGGAGGACTAGGGATCATCCTAGCAAAAGTAGGAGGGGATAAAAAATGCTTCGAGTGCTAGGGGGTGTTGAATATCTTGTTTAATAATAATTTTTAAGGGTTAGACTGCAGCTGCATGCTTGTTTCACATCTAAATGCATCTTGATTACGAGTCAATGCTATTTTAAGAAAAATCCAAATCTATCACTCCAACTGGACCAAGACTCTATATGCATGATCATACAACAGTTCACTACAAAACATAGTTGCCCCACGAAAATATGTAGATAGGTTTTGTTAGCAGTTTTATTTCCAGAGGTATTCCCTAATTATTTAGTCCCAAATCCCTAACATTTAAGCACATTCTCTAATTGACTAACCCGTTATTAAAACATTTTAATAATTTTACGTATAATTTCTTTAGCACTGATTTGGTATTTTCTCAGCTTTCATACTTTCATTATACATTTCCTTACACTTTGTTGGGTACATTCTTCAACTTCTTCAACCAAATATTTATCACCAAGACCCAAAACAAGCAGTAAATGCTTTGTGTGTAAAACTCAATTAAGAATTCTTCAGGAAATGCTTCAGTTACTGCTGATGGGATTTCCAAAATCAAATGAGAAGGAAAAAAGTGAAATATTTGATTATTTCTACTTGCATTTCTTGCTCGAGTGAGTGTGTACTCACCTAATTGTAGTTGCAGGGGTTGAGACTCGGCTCCTGGCCCCACGTACGTACGTGTGTGTGTGTGTGTGTGTGTGTGTGTGTGTGTGTGTGTGTGTGTGTGTGTGTGTGTGTGTGTGTGTGTGTGTGTGTGTTTGTGTGTGTGTGTGTGTGTGTGTTTGTGTGTTGTGTGTGTTTGTGTGTGTTGTGTGTGTTGTGTGTGTGTGTGTGTGTGTGTGTGTGTGTGTGTGTGTGTGTGTGTGTGTGTGTGTGTGTGTGTGTGTGTGTGTGTGTGTGTGTGTGTGTGTGTGTGTGTGTGTAGAGAGGTGAATACAATCAGGGAGAAATACCTTTTAAAATAATAGTATTCATGGAACACTATTCTTTTATACATGTAAACAGAAAACTTTTTAAACTATAATACTTTACCTTAGTAAGCAGCTTATGAGGGTCACAAAATATTCCATCCATGACACTTAAAATAAACATACATAAAACCAAAAGTTGAGAGCTTGAAAGAAACATCACTTGAATAAATAAAAGGGAAATGTAAAGAGCACGACAAAATCTGGCTACTCACCATCTTGTGTCTTGACTTGTGGAGGTGGAACATAAGAAGGTAATAACGGCCCGGGGGGCGGGGGTGCATTTGGGGGAGCTTGTTGGGATTGTTGTGAGGAGGAGGCAGGACCTCCTTCTCTCAGGTACGCCTCTGGACAAAGGCCTCACCTTCACCACCTGAAACAATTGCCATATCCCAACCTACATTACCTTAATGATGCACGAATCAGTAAAAAAAAAATCTGTACTAACAAAGAATTTCTACGTAATTCAAATGAAAATAATCCTAAATATAAGAAATGCTTTAAAACACATGAAAAGAATGCCATTTCTAACACAATAGAGTGCAGTGATGTCCCAAACCTCACAAGACACAAAAAATCCATAAACTCACTCAAATAATAGGTAAAAAGGAAAAAAAATCCCAAAATGTTAAACCATTTCACTGTTGTGACCCCCAAAATTTAATGTTGAAAAACAACATGAAGAAAATAATACTTTTATTGTCTGAAACAGTAAAGAATATTTTTCTGAAGGTAATAATACCACAAATGCAAAATCTGATAGGAAGCTTACCGAATTATGCAGGTGTAAACTTTGTCTGGACAGTTACGCATCAGCGATTTAACCCACTGAATACCATTATAAGCTAATTCCAATTGACCTAATTCCTAGATTTTTTGCTTCTAAGTCTTTCTACTAGCTGAGTCTAAGAAACTTCCATTTGACTATCAGAACTACACTATAATTTAGAGAAATTGGTATGTTGGCAAATTTACACAAAATAAAAAAAAATCAAATTTAAAAAGTAGTCCAAATTAAACAGTGCAGGCATTCCAGCCACAAAATCAACCTTTCCTCTGCTCATTAATCACATGCCTTCCAATTTTAATCCATCATTACACCAAAAATGTTTAAGTTTAAACCCTATTTCTTTGATAATAAAAAATAACCAAGAATGGTTATAACATGACTGGAACAACTCACAAATAACCTGCACATAGGAGAATGAAACTTATGACAACGTTTTGGTCCAACTTGGACCACTGACTAGATATAAATTTTATTTTCCTGTGTGCAAGTTATTTGTGAATGACTGGTTATGGTTTAGGCCGCCCCAACAGTTAAAGTAGAAAAAAAACTATCAATCAGACCAGGGATATTAGGGAAAGTCTACCCTTTCTCAGGAAAGCACTAAAAATTTAATATTTTGAGTCGCTTCCAGCTAGACTTCTGAAAACTAGCAATAAACCATAAATACCCTAGAAAATGGATCAAAAGATGCTATATGAAACCAAAAACCAGAGGTATACTTTTTCCATCATGGGGCAGAAATTTTTTTTTTCATACCATGAATACTCAACAAACAAACCATTTCTCGTGTCTATGCCAAAATTTACTACTCACAGCACTTGCTCAATCCACATATTCTTCCTGCTGGGATACAAATAATATACCATAAAGAACAAAGAGGCATAATACCACGACTGGAAGAATATACAAATAACCCGTACATAGGAGAGAGAAGGTTAAGACGACGTTTCGGTTCGACTTGAACCATTTACAAATACAGTGGACTCCCGCATAACGATTTTATTTCAATCCAGAAGTCTGTTTGGGTGCCGTTATAGACCGAATTTGTTCCCATAAGAAATATTGTGAATTAGATTAGTCCATTTCAGACCCCTAAAAATGCACCTACAAAAGCACTTACAAAAATAAACTTACATAATTGGTCAAGTTGGGAGCTGATCGTTATCCGGGGGTCCACTGTACCACGTTTACTTTCCAGAAAGATATATTTGTGTGATAAAGATTGTTTTACCTCTGTACATAGTTTCTTACACGGTAAAACCCATAGCTATGTAAAACATTTCTGGTAGACTAAAGCCAGTTTATAATTACTTGAGACAAATTAACTAATTCGTTAGCAAATTAAGCCATTTGAAGTTAAGATTATCAAAGACAATGAGTGTTCCAAGAAATGAAACTGTCAATGTTAATATAGAGGGACAGTAAAACAAAAGGTAACTGAAAATTTGAGCATTAAAAGACACTGGAGGTAGAAATATAGTGAAGACAAGATGGTGACCCATGGCTCAGTTGGCAACACACTCAGCTCACATACTAATAAGTGTCTATGGTTTGATCCCCAGCATGGGTGAAAACGCTGGCCATGTCTCCTTACACCTGTTGTTCTCTACACATATGCTGCTATGTATGATACTCTAAGTAATTGTATTTGTGTATACATGAATAAACTTACTTACCTGTTCACCCTATTTTTGGACCTTTTATGTGCATAAAGTTTCAACTTAGGTCGAGTCAAACACACAGGATATCAGGGGGATATTTGATTTTTGTACTGTTCTCGTGCATGAGATATTAATCATTCGTTCCTGTGACACTCTGAGGGTGACATTATCCCATAAAGGACACATGTATCTCGTATCACTTGGCAATTTTTTCCTCCCCTGCTCAGATGAAACCAAAAATTCCTGATGTTACCTTGCAGTGTGGCTACACACACTACACGGATTTTTGCCAGTAGTAGTATCCAAATTGCCATTACTGCCAGTGCTCCAAATGATGACCTCACCAAAAAGACCCATCGTGCAGCAGCAAGATTTACAAGGGGAAAACCAGGAAACTTATCGTCTAGAATTTCTGGAAATATATAGGCCAACAGCAGGGATGACAATAACAATTGTCATACACAAAAATGCCAAGGGGCATTTTGTGCTAATGGTAAAATTCTACAATGATCTACAGGAATTCATATTTAAGATGACACAGGTGCCCTGAAACTTCACTAACTTCCATCTTCAACACCATTAAAAAAAAGCTGGCAGTTAACATTCTGTTACAACCTCAGCCCATATAATGTGAAAATAGGCTTTCATGAGACTGCCAGGTGACACAATGGACATACTTGTTGAGTTCTCTTACAAATTCCTACACTTGTTCCAGCAGTTTCTGTTATCTTCTGGTAATATGTTGGATAGTCTGGGCCCACAGATGTAGATACAGTGTTTTCTTGCAGTGCTCATGACGCCCCTGCTTTTCACTTCATTTATTTAAAATCTTCTCCCATATCCCTCTTTCCAATACACTGTTATAGCAGTGTGTATATTTGGGACCAGGTCCAAGTACCTTCCCTATATATAATATTATGCATCTCTTCTTCCTCCACCTGAGCAGATATTTAGAACTTTGAGGGATTCCCAGTAATTTAAATGCTTTACTAGCTCTATGAGGGGTCATAAATAATTTCTATCTGTTCCAGCTCTGATATCTCTCCTGCAAGAGATGAAGCCATCAACACTAAACAATACTCTAAACAAAAGCACAAGTGATTTGAATTGTGTCACCATTGGCATTATTTTATTTTTTTATTATCACACTGGCCGATTCCCACCAAGGCAGGGTGGCCCGAAAAAGAAAAACTTTCACCATCATTCACTCCATCACTGTCTTGCCAGAAGGGTGCTTTATACCATTATAATGCCATTATGGCATTATACCATGTATAAATTTAATGTGTCTTTCTTGCCTGTATTTTAAAAAGGATACATTTTAAGGGATTTCAGGTGTTCCCAATACATGTGTTTGAATTGATCCATCTAGATCAGTGGTCCTCAACCTTCCTACCTAAGTGCGCCACATCTGATGGTCAAATATGTGATTAGGGCCACACAGTTTTGCTGACACTGTGCAGTGTGGAATTTAAATAAAAGTGAATACGTAATTTCATGTGAGAGGCACATCCAATTCCTAGAAGGGCCACGTGCAGCCCGTGGGCTGCAGGTCGGGGACCCTTAGTCTAGATAAATAATGTGAGGGGAGGTGGATTAAGACCCAGTCAGCAGAGGCCAGTAGGCCACTGAAATGTTCCTCTTAGGAGTTGCTGAAAAGCCACTTATTTAGGCAGAATGGTAAAAAATTATTTCCCTACCTCAATAAGGGATGGAAGGTGTATTAAAAGAAATGTGATGTTGCCTCTATGAATCTGGTGATATTTAACCCTTTGAGGGTTTTCGTCGTACTAGTACGTCTTACGCGTAGGGGTTTTTGACGTACTAGTACTCATAAATTCTAGCGGCCTCAAATCTAGTGGGAGAAAGCTGGTAGGCCTTCATATGAAAGAATGGGTCTATGTGGTCAGTGTGCACAGTCTAAAAAAAATCCTGCAGCACACAGTGCATAATGAGAAAAAAAAAACTTTGACCATTTTTTTTTAATAAATCAGCGACTTTGCAGTGTATTTTCGTATGGTATTTATTGTTGTATTCTAGTTTTCTTGGTCTCATTTTATAGAATGGAAGACATATTACTGAAATTGAGATGATTTTGACTGGTTTTACAACGAAAGGTGCTTGAAATTGAGCTCAAAGTAGCAGAAATGTTCGATTTTTACCAAACTTCAAAAATAAACAAATCGTGCCAAGCGTGCAATACACGTCAACTGGTGAGTCTAATATTCTTTCACAAGTGCACCAATAATATTTATACCCTTTTTTTACACTAATGCAGTAGTCTGCATACAGTAAATCTTATATTTTTTGTGAGAATAAAAATTCAAAGTGGAAAGCAAAAGAATATAAGAGGGGCCTTGAGACTGCTTTGAAGGGAAATTCGTTTTTAGTGCCAGGAAGTTTTTCTTTTTTATTCTGGCCCTATTTGGAAATTGGATTTTTTGAAATTTGTGTGAAAATTGGGCAAAATTGCAAAATTCTGCTACGTACGGGATAGTTAAAATTTATAAATGGGGGGTTTTTTCTTGCCCATTCGATAGAAAAAAATGGAGTTTAGCGAAATATTCATGTTTTTTGTCAAAAGTACATGAATTGGGCCCCGAAAAGGGGGCTCAAGTGGGCAAAATCCCGATGCGTAACATCGCCGAGACCGTAACTTTGGGAGAGCTAATTCGTAAGTTTTTATCAAATTTCAAACTTTTGGTGTCGTTATGATGGGGGAAAGTTCTTTTATTTTTCATAAAGAAAATAATTTTTTTTTTTTTAAAAATTTGGCCGCCCCGAGAAAAGTTTCGGAGAGGCCTGTGCCCTCAAAGGGTTAACCCTTAAACTGTCCAAACAGATCTATTTTCACATGCATAGTGTTACAAAAGTAGATCTACATTTTTTTACATATTTTCAAATATAA